TATAGGTGCGGTAGTTTCCCCTCTATTTTAATATCAGTAATTCCACATTCCAACTCGGTTAAGAATGTGGCAAAAGAAGAACCAGTCCAAATCAGGGTTATGGTGGACGAAGAACTAGTCAGTATGGTTATAAATGTCTGCCTTCCTTAAAAACTTTCAGCAAATAATTACTGACCTTATAAACACCTAGTTCACAGAAGGCTGCCTCCCTATAACTTGGAAGTTGGCTGAAGTCGTTCATCATCTAAAGAGAGGGGACCGTGAGATGGCAACCAATAATCGACCTTTCAATCACTACTATTACCAACCTTGTCCAAAGTTATTGAACGGATAGTGCATTAGCAGTGTGTAGTTACTTTACCGTTAAGGGCAAATTGTCCTTCAAAAACCACTCAATAGAGACTCCTGGTGTGATACTTTCTAGTCACTTCTTTCAGGCGGCTGATGATAAAAAAATCCGGACAGTGATAATGTTGGATTTTAACGAAGCCTTTGACAGCATTAACCATGTCGTCTTAATGCAGAAGCTAAAACGTACTGTTGTTATTTACTCTGCTCTTCCCTGAGTTAGAAGTTTTTGGTCGAAGTAAAGATGACGCACGGAGTATCGCATGGCATTATTCTTGGCCCGTTGTTGTTTAATGTGTACATAAGTGATCTCCCATCTGTAAGCATCATTATTAATATCGAGTCTTATGCTAGCTACCTAGCATTTTCTAACAAGCTCAGTCTCGAGACCTCGAGAAACTGATGTGGATAATCATATGACGTAGAATTTCAAGCCTTGAATACTCGGTTTGCTACTACCTTCTTCCTTCTTTTATTGAGTACTTTAACTTTTAATAATTTTTGCACGTATTTTGAGTGAAGATGACAAACGGATTTTGGGGTGTCCTTTCTAGTCACAACCATTTCATGTCATTCGTATGACATTCCCGTGAAGATACGAGAGAATGGGAGAAAACTTTTACCAAGCGTCACCTGCTGCTTTAAGAAAAAGAACACGGTGGTGTATTCAAAATCACCTGAACTGAGGAAGGAGATTAAGTTCCATTGTAAAGTGAGAATAACGTGGACTGAAACGTAATAGATATATACTTTAACGCCTCCAAATCACTTTAAATTCAAACAAAGGGCGTAGAATTTTACATCCAAGATAAACTTACAGGCCAACTTCAGGCCAATTTTAGACTACGGGTAATCCCGTATTTTCCTCAAATACCAAACAACAAGCAGTTCTTGACTGACTTGCTTTGCTTCCACCAGACCCTCAATGCTGACTACGTCCGAGGGGGGTCATTGACCGTTTTTATGCTAGAGACGTCTTAGTTGTCTCAGGACAACTTTAACCTCTAGTACAAAAATGGTAAATAAGACAGACGCATTTATCGTCTGACGACTTAGGGGTCTTCTTTTACGTGCGTTGTTCAGACGCACAAGACAACTTTAACGTCTCAGACGTTAAGTCTAGTATAAAAATGAATGGGACGCATTTATTCCCAACTCTTCTAGAAATGACGGGGAAGAGTCAGTGTTTTGTCTTTTTTAAGAAAAAATCCGGATTTTTTTTTCGCTGCTGTCTTTACTTTTATACGTCCCGTTCAAGTTACACCAGTCGACTTTGACGTCTCAGACGTTTAATGCGTCTTGACGACTTTAGCGTCTCTCATGACGGCATAAAAACGGCCATTAAGGTCGAGCGCTTAGGTGCATATATACACCTTAGTTATTTTAGTTATTTCGCCATGTCTACGAAAAATTATGTATTTGCTTGGCACGACTTATGACACATCAATTTCCCTCGGTTTTTAAAGGATCACCAGTGGAGCTCTTCAATCCCGCTGCATCTCCTGCGTGCTTACAATCCTGAATCTCGCTCCATTTGCATGTAAGAGCGCTGGTCAGGAAAAATCGACCAGAATCTTTATTTCGTGGCAAGAGTTGAAAAACCAATTTCTTTCATTTTTTGTTTATAGATAGCTTTTAGGTAGATAAGAAACCTAAAGTAGATTGTTCCTGCCGAAAGCTTTTTATTTGTGAGAAATTTTAGAAGATTGGTTTTCGATGTCAGAGTCTCAGACTGCCCTGATTTTTAACCTGAAATTCGCTAACATTAACAACCCTCGCGTACGCAAACGAACTCCGCATGGAGAAATTTGGACTCTTTCCATGAACAGAAAAATTATTTTTCTTCCACTAAAAGATACTTTCAGGGCAATAGCGAAGCTCGTCGTACTGAAATAATTTACAGATGAGGGATAGGTTTTCAGGATAACAAAAACTTAAGGTCGTTACTCATTTTGGACGGCAATATTTAACATGTGGTTTAACTCCACTTTTTTTCTCTTAATGCTATTTAAATCACACATTTAGACATTCATTTAAGACGTACCAGGGAATTGGCTTGGGTTATTGAATGTAATCTCCGTAAGACACCATCGAAGTTCAGGAATTTTCATGGCAGTAAACACTTCCAATTTCGAAACGCACAAAAGTAGATATTTACAGCCTAAAGGCTCGTTGTTTTGAACTTTTTGTAGGTTTTCCCATTGCAAAATTTCTTTTTCCAATCAAGGGGGGGGGGGGTGTAAAAAGGTGAAACTGGGTCAATTTTAACCATTTTGAAACGCTGAACCCTACGAGATGGCGACTCTGCGTGACAATCTGTCCCGTGAGTGCGTGGACTTTAACAATGCTAATTCGCTAAGGATGACGGAACAGGAAGATATTTCGTCGTCTTACCTTACGATCGAGGAAACTTGGAGCCGTTTAATAAGTTATTTTGGTCACGCTTCACTATTTTTACCGGACTTTGATGCTTTCGTTTGGAGGCTGCCTAAAGGAACCCAAGCCAATTCTCAGGTATGCTTTAGATGAATGTCTGAATGTGTGAACAAACGAGGACCGGGAAAATTTGGAGCTATATCACATGAAGAAAAATGCCGCAGAAAACAACTACTAAATTAAAGTTTTTGTCACCGTAACAACCTGTTCTTCGTTTCTGAATTATGTTAGTTCAACGAGTCTTGATATTACTTTGAAAGTATCTTCTAGTGAAAGAAGAAGAGTTGCTCTATTAATGGTAAGTGTCCAAATTTCTCCTTGCGGCTTTATTTGCAAACGCGAGGAGAGTTGATGTTAGCAAATTTCCGGTTGAAAATACGGCCATTTTGAGACTCCGACCACGAAAACTGATATTCTTACTTTTCTCGAAAATAAAAGGCTTTTGTTAGAACAGCTTACATCAGATTACTTATCTACCTAACCGCTATTTATGGACAAAAAATGAAGGCAATCGATTTTTCAACTCTTGCCACTCGATGGTCGATATTTTCTGACCGTCGCTCGTAAAATCCCCAATCCTCGCCTTCAAATAAGGGAAATTCAGTATCACGAAGAACCTATTGGGGAGTTCGTCTTAATCAAGGGCTAGCTGCGTTACCTGTTCAAGCGCAACTGAGCTTTGTTCGTTTGATTTGGGTGGTATAACAATGCCTTTCCAGCCTTTAACAACTTGAAGATTAAAATTGCATCTTTATTGTATCTACTTTCAAGATTTCATTCGCATCGCTGAACTTGCTCTTCTAAAATTTTGTTTGGTCAGATCTAGTGTATACTTTTACCAATCTTTTATTGATGTACGGGTAGAACTAAGCAATCTCCTTAGAAATATTTCAAATATAGAAAACCTTTTTTGAATAGGGATTTTGAACTGGACGTACTCACCATATACAACCTCTCTTTTGTTTAGGGATACGTGACAACTTTTATGTTACGCAACCGTGACACTTCACAATGCTGATTAAGTTCAAGCGATTCGGTCGAAATATTGCTCTGAGTTTTGGAATTTTCTATCCCCTAGATGTAAACAATCTCATTTTAACTTTTAAATAATTTGCATATCTTGCAATCCAATCCTCCTCATAGACAGTGGTTTCTCAAGTTGCAACACTATGAGGAAGCTGATCTCCTTCTCACAAGTCAGAAATTCAAAACGTGATACTCGACCATTCACGAATTTTTTACCTGCCATTCACATTAGGTCCTTTTGATCCAATAGCAAATCTAAATATGATCATTCACCGCATACGCTATAAAAATTCTAGTTTCATTCTATCTACAATTCATTCTTTGGAAGTCAGTCGAATCCACAACTCTGCTTTGAACAGCGCTTCTATTGATTGTTCGAAGGGATACATTAGTTTCGTGAGGACTTTGGTAAGCTACCTTTTTGTCTTTAAATTTAGCTTTTGCTGTAGTCTTTACGGTGTTTCTGCCTCAGTCTGCTGTAGTCTCTTCGTGTCTAAGCTGTCTGATTCACAAAGCGTTTATTTTAACCAATTAAAAGAACCGAAGCCCTATTTATTGCATCAATTTTATATTTTAAAAAGTTTCCGTCAAGCTTCCTTTAAGCAGACTCTAAAACCAACAATTATCAGTTACACAGCATTGTCAGGCCCATTTGGTCGGAACCATCTTTTTTGTCTAAAGAAGAAATATTCATAACTAAATTCTCGTTTTTCCCCGTCCGAAAAGATTCCAAGCATTGTTATCAATTTTATGCAAGACGTTTTCCGCCTTCCTTCCAAGTTTTGAAAGTTAGTAATAACATCGACTTAGTACTTTGCAAAACTAGTGGGCCAGTTCTTTAAACGGAGCTTAACCTGTGTTCAACAAAACCGCGGTGTTTTGGATAAGTGGTCGCTTATGGAAGGTGGTCGTACACTGTACATGGAGGTTTGATTTTTGTAGTATTCCTGAAGCAGCTAGACACTGCTACGTTCAAATCATTCACTCTTTTCTATAGTGAAACAAGATGTTTCGCTCACCGGTTTGCTCGTTAATCTTCGCATTGACCCTTGGGCTGGCGTCATCTTACGTACTTGACGACATCTACTCGGGTAAGGAGACATTTGAAGAGAACGAAACAAAAGAAGTGGAAAACGAAAAGAGAGATGAAATTCCTGATCTGAATGGCAGCTGGTCCTCCGATGAATTGGATGATGTGATGGTAGAAGATCTCCCACAGAGTATCATAGACAAAGCGAAAAACCTTGCGAACGGTAAATGCAGCAAGGTATATGTACAACCAAGGAATAGAGTGGAAGAAGAAAAGGGAGCCCAGAAGAAGTTTTACCAATCGTTTCAGCATGGAGAAAAGAGTATCATGACTGATGAAAAGTGGATGAAAGCAAAAAAGAGTGAAAAATGTACCACCTGTGTCTTAAATGAACTTTGCCGTAGGATGAGTGCTGAAACCTTACAGCAATTGAACATCGAATCGACGTTACCTGCGTAAGTACTTAAGTTCAATCTGTGATATATGAAAAAGTGCTCCTTAATATTCTCTTGCCCAGGGGAGGGGGTATTTCGGAGTTAAAATGACGGGGATAATCAAAAGGGGGCAACCGTGATCAATCCCCCCCAAAAGAAAATCTTCCAAAAGCTTCCAACGAACCCCCGAAAAAAAAAAAACTGAAAAAAAAATTGACCCCCCAAAAATCCATGCTTCTTTATCAGGCAGAACTACGTGACCAGCATATACGCTTGGCATGTCCCGATTGCGCTGGGCACTTTTCCGAATTTGGAGCACTATTTTACATTTCCAGCACTCTTCAGCAGAATTTGAGCATTTTTTTCGTTTTATCGGGCAACATTTAGGCACTTTGTTTTTTACAATTTTCCACATGTTTAATAACAGTTGTAGCTATACAGTGATACATTGAAGTCCATACGGTTCTGTGCTGCTGTGGGAGTGCTTTCGAAACTATGCTGACTTAACAGTTGAAGAGCTTGACTTAGTCGATCTTGGGTTTATATCTTAATAAAGAGATTTTGTTCGGAAAACGTTATTGGTGCATGTTTCACTTCTATGATCACCCATTAGAAAATCGAGGGTTAAAGCCTTCATAAAACTAAGAATATTTATGAACATCTGCTAGGAAATATTTAAAAAATACGAGCAACTTTCGAGAACTATTTCTAAATTTCAAGCACTTTTCTGCCATGTTTTGAGGACTTTTTGGCGAATTCTCCAGCGCAATCGGAACAAGCCTAATACAGGCCCGGTACAACGCCAATCTTCAGATTGTTTTTAATAACCTTAAATCAACGCACCCCCAAAAATACCCAAATTTTCCTAACCAAACAATTTTCGCCAAAAAAAATTAACCCCCCCCCCCCAACCCCAAAATCGTTAAATCAACTCAGCCAGTTTAACTCCGGACAACTACATCTGCTCAGCTCCTAATAAACTCTCATCAAGCATTTTCAAAACCTTGAGTTAGCGTGAGTTCGATTGAGTGTCCGTGAGGTCAGCGGTTTCCATGAACGTACTCTGACTGATCATAGCTAACGACCAGTCACAACCTGCTTACCACAAACAATCTAGAACCTTTTGAAGAGATAAATAATAATTACCAAAAAGGGTAATGATCACCCTTTTCGTATTTTTCTTGTCTGGTTATTAGGTCTGAAAGAGAGAGGAAGTGTAAAATGGCAATTCTCAGTCAAAAACTTGATGTCAGTAACCCTGAACAGTCACCAAAGATAAACTGCGATAAAACGACGCCATTTCGCACAATCGACGGAACGTGCAACAACTTACAAAACCCAACCTTCGGAGCAGTCAATACACAATTTAATCGTCTCATAGCAGCGGATTATGGCGATTCCATCTCAACACCTCGCCTTGCGACGTGTGGAAAGGAGCTTCCGAATGCGCGTGATGTAAGTCGCTTTGTTCACGGCAGTAACAAAGACCGCACTAACCCAAATTCTACCTTACTGACCCATCTGACAATGAATTTTGGACAGTTCATGGACCATGACACAACGCTCGCAAAGCCGCAAGGGCTTAACTGCGAACCACCCACAACAAATCCAGAGTGCATCAACATTGAAATTCCCGAGGACGATGCAACATTCCGAGACCGGAAAGTCGATATTATTGAAATGGAGAGAGACGCTCTTCACGAACCATCTTCTTTCTGTAAACTTGTCACCAGAGAACACATCAACACTCTTACAGCTTATGTTGATGCTTCCAATGTTTATGGGTCAACGGAGGAAGTTGCTAAGTCAGTCCGGGTTCCTAAGCCTGATGATGCATTTCTGAAAGTAATGAAGCATCCAGATGGCAAGCCCTTTAGAAATCTGTTGCCTCCGCAGACCGAAGAATCCGGGTGTCCATCTCTTGATCCACAGAGGCCGTGTTTTTTATCAGGAGACGAGAGGAACAATGAAAACCCAGGTGAGAATAAATCAGCATTGATAGAGTCTATATATGCTTTATTATCGAGACCCTCTAAGGTGGCTAGATATGTCCCTTTTATGAATTTCAAAACCTGTGCTTTCACATTTTGAAGAAGAGGCCATGTCGCTATCGGTACTGAGCTACTGCATTTGTTCCTCGCAAGCGCAGTCTGAACCCAGTGTGTCGCCACTTACGTCCCTTTTTCGGAGTCATATCGCGGAGTTGTGGAATTTCCCATAACAGGGCCTCATTGCATTAGTTGCCAGTGCCAAAACACCAGGCCTCAACGTCTTTAGTGATTTAAAATGGAACTGTTAATTGACTCCATTATCAAGAAAGCTAAGAAGCACCTGTATAGTTTATCTCAGCTTAAACGCTCTGGCCTAAGTACCCGTGAGCTAGTTCAGTTTTTTCTGCACTTGCATCCGCCCTATCACGGACTGAATGTCCTGTCTTTCACGACAATCTTCCCGCGTATCTCTCCAATGAACGTGAGGGAGTACAAAACCGGGCCACGCGCATTATTTTCCCTTTCAGCTCGGGTAAAAAGTGCCTAATCCACCCATGAAACTTCCAGACCTCCGCCAGGAACTTGTAGACAAACTATTTAAGGAAGTCGTGCGGAACAAAGAGAATAAGCTCCACGGCCCTCTCCCTGCTCTTAATACCTCTAGGTCGAGCCTAAGAAACACAGGGAAATTTAGGCCTGTTTTCAAGACGAACAGATTCCGTAATAGTTTTTTTTACGTCCAATGCCCTCAAGGCTAAATAAACTGTGTTTTCCTATCTACAGTTTTACAATTTTCGATTGGTTTTTATTTTGTCAAATTCTATTTTTTTATTTCCTAACAAATCACAATTTTACTCTAGTGTATTCATGCATTGTTTCTATGATTCGATTCTTACATTTTTGTTTATAAATCAGCTTCTTAGAAGTGGTAGTATTTTTCAGTTATCGTAATTGTTTGTCAATAATCGCCTAATTCAACCTCTGGGTTGCGATGTGATTATAAATAAACTATCTAACTATCCTATTAATGCCACAAGCTTTTTTGATCTTCTGGAGCCGAGAGAAATTGTTAATGTCGTTCTTTTTTTCTTCACCTAACCCTAGTATTCATTTGATAAATGTTGCTTTTTAAATTGGAGAAGTTCAAGACATGTGATTTGATGACTCGTATTGCGGTTAATGCCACCATGAACTGATTTCTGACCGGGCAAACTTCACTTAAATGAGAAAACTTTTCTAGATATCTGATAGAAAAGTAACATAAAAGTCAACGGGCTTTTCTTTTTTTTTTTTCTCTGTACTTATATATTTTTTTTAAGTTTTCCATTCGACTTAAACTTAAATTCCAGTTTGTCGAGATCGACGATAGGAGATGCAATACCGACGAATCTTTATATTTCAGTTATTTACTTATTGGCTAAGGCCGATAAAACTTACCGAGATCTTGATTATTCCGGATATTACAAACTTAAGACCTTATCCAATACTTGTTTCATTATACACTGCTTTGTAGAAATGACGACAAAAAAAACCGTTGCACGCAGAACACACTTTTGTCCTTGCTTTTGGAAATCATATATTGCATGCAACCCACACATTAGTCAGTTAACTAACTAATCTTCAGGGGCACCCAACGACTGTTTTCTTTCAAAATATCTGTTCGGAGAAGCAAATATTGCCTAGAATTTTCTATTACTTGAGGGCGGCTAAAAATTTCTTGATGAGCGTTCCATTTAAGTACAATTTTCGAAGCTTATCTAAAAAATTCCCTACTATTTTCTGAAGTTTAATTTTTCATATTTTACTCCTAATGTTAGGCTAATTTTCTTAGAAAAAGGAAAACTAAAATTTCCGGATTCAAAAATGTGATGGAGAGAGGAATAACAAAAATTCCCACTTTCGTAAAACGCTCAATTGCATCTAATATTTTCGGGAAAAGAACATTGAAGTCCTGGCTTGTAATTTGGAAAAGCCACAAGTTCCCCTGTAGGATGACCGAACTGACACAAATTTTATAGCGCCGCCGAGAATGCATTTTAAATTACTTTGATAGCCTAAAAAGACTTTTCAATGCATTTAGGAGGAAACTGTCGTTGGGTGCCCCTGAATCTTTAGGTTGCACTGATTGTATATACGTAGCCTTTAGCCATTGAGAGGAGTGATAGTGAGTGCAATGTATAATAAGATGTCTTATCTTACAGGTCTCAATTCAGTCCATACTATCTTCGTTCGACAGCACAACCGAATAGCCACATTTTTACTCAACAACAATAATGCTAATAGATGGGAAAAAGACAGGATTTTCGATGAGACCAGGAAAATCATCGGGGCGCAACTGCAAGTCATTACATACAACGAATTCCTGCCATTGATTTTGAGTAGGAAAACGGTAGGTTGATAGCTCGCTTTTAATGTCTTCTGATTAATCTAATCGAAACAGGTGCTGTGTCCTAAAGCCTTAGTCAAGGGCTATTTTTCACGTGCGACACAAGCAAAAACATATTAAGACATATAGGCATCTACTTAACTAGAAATCCGGTGCAATTCCAGTAAAGTGTAAGCGTCTTGCTTTGTATTTATGCTTACGTTATGGCGGTTACACTTTTCAAAATGCATAATAACAGCACAAGCAAGTTTTCTTTTAAACTAATCCATATAGCTTAGTGTATGTTCCACTTTAAATACAGTATTGTGTACAGTACATTATTTGGCGCCGTATTTGTTACGCCCTGATACTAATTAATATGCGTTTGGTCTGGGTTATAATTTCACCTTATACTAATGACCTAAAAGTACTGAGCATCGGTGTATTTCTATATGCATAAAACTTTGTAAACCAGCTCAAGGTTTATCGGTGTGGGTTTGCCAATCAGCTTGTCAGAACGGCTGATCCTATTAATGTAAACAATCTCAAATTTAAGCCCACCTTAAGTTCTGAATCGTAGACCTTGAATTGCTGGTCGAACTTAGTGCCTGCTTTAAAACAAGCACTAAGCAGTCTTTAAAGCAGTCTGTTAACCACTATTTCTGGAACGATGTCATACCATGCGAATCTGGACTTCCACCTAAGGAAAGTGAAAGTTTCGTAATTCTCAAACAGTCATTTTGGTATACAATGCTGTATAATTTCACAACGGCAGGAGGGAAGTTATTCAGGATTACAAGAAAAACCCACGTACCCGGCCTTAAATTTAGCAACTGAATATCAATTACGTCATGTTTTGTTAATTTTACGGAAAGATTTGTTTTATTATTCTTCATAATTATTGTAGATCAAAGACTTTAAGTCTCGAAATACTTCCAGGAACGCAATTATTCAAGGGATACTTTGTTTGGAAGCAATTCATACTAAGATGCACACGAAAAAGACCTATATTCGACTTGCTCTAAATTTAAAAAAATTAATATGATTTCTTAAATGTATCCCAAGTCACTATGTTTTCAGCTGTTTCTCCCGTGCATTAAAAAGCAACATTCACGATGTTCCTTTTTCTCCCTCACTATTCAGATCAAAAAGTTTGGCCTCGAGCTCCTTAAAGGAACACAGTTTTTCAATGGCTACGACAAAAACGTAAATGCTCAAGTGACAAATGCCTTTTCTGTCGCTGCATACCGATTTGGCCACAGCTTAGTTCAAGAATGGTTTAAAAGATTCAGTCAAATTGGTTTCGAACATAAAAGAACTGAATGCGGTTTGAAAACAGAATTTCGACCCATCCCAGTGTTGGACTTCAATAATCCTCAATACTTATACGAGACAGATCAGGGCGGCGTTGACGCCATTGTGAGGGGACTAGTGAAAGATTCGGCAGCGAAAAGTGACGGGTGAGTAAATAGGAACTGTCTAGTGCCAGAAGAGAGGGTGTTACTAAACCAAGTCCTGTAATTAAGAGGGCGGGGGGAGTGCTCCGCCTAAGGTCCAAGCCTTAACCCCTCTTATATATCATAGAAATGTCCTCCCCCCTTTCGTATACCTACAGAGGACTACTTGCCTACCTACTACTACTACTACTCCCCAAGTTGATCGTTAATGGGGGTCAGGTTCGACTGCAAATGAACATACATTTTATCTCCCTGGAACAAACGATGGGCAGAGCATTTTTTTCTGGTAGAGTATTTACTTTCTACTATAGACAAAAACATATATGCTACGATTGAAAATTTGTTTCCCTCTCAAAAAAATTAACGAAACAACTATGATCACAAAAATTAACAACAACAGCAAAAGGACACGCCTCTTGCCTGTATATAGTGGATACCTTTTTTAAAAAATTCACTACTTTGATAAGAATGAGTTGATGTCAATACTAGGCGGCTCCTCCAAAACTGGTAAAGGATTTAAAGGAGCCGAAACCAATTTTGATGATTAAAACATTTTTGGCATCTATGATGAACAGTTACAACTTATACTTATTTCGAACGTAGCAAATTTGCCGCCTGTCCCCTTTCAACTGTTCATGTTCTAGGTAAAATCAATACATAAAGAGATGATGAGTCTGGTAGGTCTAATAGATGTTCAGCTGTCCAGCTGTTCTTGTGATGTTTTTAGGCATAAGTTCAGCTGATTCTCATCATTTCCGCAAACGTGTGTAATTTCTCGCCATTTTCTTGAGCTAAACTAAAACAGCTGAGCAAAACAACCTCGTCCACAGATCTTCTCGGTTGTGATCTTCACATTGCCCATAATACACCTCGTTTACCTCCCACACTTTACCTGCAGAGGAGTGAATGTTCGTATTAAAATTTAAAGCATGCAGCTCCGCTTTAAGGATTTGCTAACTTTATTTGCTTAGCTAAAATATTGTGTTATTTATACCTACTAGGCGATTTTCCAGTTCTGTACAAGAAAACCTACGTCGTGGTGAGGGTGATTTATCTGACTTAGTCAGCATTAACATCCAAAGAGGGCGTGAACGTGGACTTCCGGGGTACACTAAGTATCGTAACCTTCAGTTATGTGGCCTGAGCAATGTAAAAAGTTTCGAGGATTTGAAGAACGTCGCTGGCTTTCAACAAGAGGACGTGGAAAATTTGAGAAAGGTCTACGATAACGTTCATGATATTGACTTGTTTGTCGGAGGTAAGCAGTACCCAAGTACATGTTTGTGTGTGGGAGGGGGGAGGGGGTGGTGTCGGGGGTCGGTAGCCCAGGCGAAGGACAGATGCTCGTCGAAAAATTCCAAGAACATCCCTTAATTCTTTGTTACCAGAGGTCTCTCACGATAGGAAAGAAAGAGACCTCTCCAGCCTCTGACTAGGTTCAGTCTCCAGCCTTGGTTGGGTGTCTCGATGCACCCGTGGTCTCTTCAGTACATGACGTCATGATGTCCACTGAGTAATTTATGCATGACGATTTTTTCTCATGAACGCGAACCATCTCCCTTAGAGACCGCAGAGAGCTTTTTTCGCATAGCTAGATTAAACTTGTACTGTTAGAAGACGCAGATAGAAAGGGAATACTCAGTTTCCTTTTTGTGGAAAAGGAAAAACTTTCAGCAAGGAAACTTTAACCAAGTTTTCTTCACGCCTTGTCCTGTTTTGAAATCCAGCCTAGACAGCGAAGTTTGTAAAGAATTTTCAGGTACATTTTTCACGTAATGGCCAAAGAATTACGCATTCAGATGGGAATTTGTGTATTTATAAATGCTTCGTAGACGTTTTAAACATTTTGACTTAGTTTGGCTATAAAGCAAAATTAGAAAATGGGCCCCGATTTGAGACGGATTTTGTGCTGAATTTTGCCATCTGCTCTTTTATAAATTTGCGTGATCGGATCAGTGTCCCACTAATTGCTTTAAAGAAATTTACTTACCCTTCAATCCAATTTTTCTCATAGAACAATAATTAAATTAGGAGTTATAAGCAACCTGTGAAAAAGAAACATAAGCCTACATACTTCGTATAAACAACATGGAGATAAAAGAAGCTTATGAAAGATTCGTCGTTAATAGGGAATAAATACACACAAGTAAATAAAATACGTCCTACAAGGAAAAAGAATGTTTTAATTATGACTTAGGCAGAGCTGGAAGAGCCAAAATTTAACTTTGTTTACAAGCAAAACTTTGCAGGCTGTAACTTCATTTTCGCGAAGAACAAGCAAGCTTATAAACAATTACTGGATGAAGTTTTTGTGATATCCGGAATAATCAAGCTCGAGGTAAGTGTTATCAGCCGAGCCGAAGGCCAAGACTGATGTTTCGAACATTAACGCGCATCAAATCTTAAAACTTTAAGCATATACAATTTTTACTTTCTGGTTCTTTTTTAGACAGTTTTTCGATACGCAGCTAATTAATTTCATTTGAAAGTATGTCAGTACTATTTATTCTAAATTGATAATAAGTTAATTTTTAAGGCTTGTCTGCCCTCAAGCTCAAGTAAATTTTCTACGCAAATGGGTAGTACGGAAGTACTGAGAGGTACCGTTTTATGAAATGACTCCGACTTCACAAAGGAGCGCAAATTGAGATGAATGAAACTATTTCTAAACTTCATTTACATAATTGTCTTTCACCGAGGTTAGCTGCGTTTATACCTTTGTTGTTTAGATAATTTACTAGGTGTTTCTTCACGCAAGGAGAGAGGTGGAAAGACTACCATGGTAATAGGCTCTGCCGTTTGTTTTCTTTCCATATTCAAAATCCATTATCATGCAAGCTAAAAGACTGAAAACTTAAAGATAGGAAATTTATTTCGAGCCAGAATAGGTTCCTTCAAAGCCAGACTCTCTTTTTCCTTGAAATTATCAAGAACAAACTCCTCACGATCAAGGCCGAACAAGCAACCATTTTCGATCTTGCATCGCCCTCCACCTTTGTTTACCTATAATAGCTTCTCACTTTCACGCTAATAAATTTATGCAATCGTAAAAAATTACCAATCAGAAGCCAGCTCGCAAAATTCTGCGGCGGGAGTACCGCGGGCGCATCGAGATACCCAAGGCTGGAGACTGAGCGTAGCCTCCGACACGTTCTTTCATGGAGCCGCCGATTACATTTGCGTTCAAAACTTACTGGTTTTCAAAACCGGTTTCGTTTAAGGTGGAATGCGTGTGCCCTGTTGAGATTGCACGCTGGAAATTTTGGAGTCCGCAATTGCTATCATGCAAAGCGGTTCCGGAAGTTGTGTCGCACATGACTAAAACGTTACTGGTTGTCAAGGAAACTTCAGTCAGCATGCGTGATAGAAAACGCATCGGAGGCCGGCAGAGGTCTCTCTCTTTTCTCTCCTTCTAATCTCTAGCTATTAGAGACCTCTACTTGGATCAGTTTTAGCTCCTTTAAAGGATATGGCGAAATCAGTTTTGAAGGTTATTTGACACACATTGGCATATTTTTTATAGTTCTAGTTGTTGAAACTATTTTTCACTAATTGTTAGATATTGTTTCACAGGTTAAGTAAAGTCATTCTACACAAGTTGATCTATTTATTTAATTTTATTTGGGAGCCAAGCAACCTCGACGCCAAATGAGTCTTGGAAAGTGAATTCGAGCTGTTTGAAACTACAGGGGCACCCAACGGGAAATTTTGAGAAAAAGACCTAAAAACAACAACAAAGCGTGCCAAAGTTTTCTGAGACTATTTTAAGCATTTTGGGAGATTGCTGGAAAAAAATTATCTGTTCCTAACTCCCAGCAAGACTGATGGAAGAGTTCCCAGCCAGCAACCTTACAACCCGCAACCTGACTCACTGGGAAGTTTCATAGGGCACAATTCAGATCTTGAGTGGTAAGCAACCCATACAAGTAACCCGTAGCAGCTATTCTAGTCTTCAAATCCCCTCTGACACCCTGAATTATCTTTTTTCCCAGCAACACTTTCCTTCCAAGGACTATTATTTCTTCCACATCTCCCAGCCAGCAAAAATTTGCATGAAGAACAGATATTTTGAGGAACAGATCCATTGGGTGCCCCTGAAACTACATCACTTTTATTCCATGTCATTCAATCCGTTACATATTGGCGAACTTTCTGGCGTTAAATTCTAAAGAATTAAGGTCACACAGAAAAAGCGATAATCGTTGTCAATTTTGACTACATTCTTCACAAAACGTGAAGTTAGGAAGTATCACGTTGTAGTCGGCAAGGACGGCAAGGACGGCGGAAATGCACTTGCAAAGTACGCTGTTGTTTTGCTAATCTAAAGGCTTGCTGTTCTCGTTAATAGGTCTTCACGTGATCAACGTTTTGTAAACACGAAAACAGTTCACCTCTGGAATAATTTGTTACCTGGAACTGAAAGAGCATATTAAAATTAGGTAACCTATGAATTTTCAGCCGTATATCTCAAAAGTAGCGACTGCAAGAGCCCCCGAAAATTAGAAGGATTTGTATGGAAAAACTGAACAACTCTTGCCCCAGTCTTTACTTACAAATCCTTGTAAATTTCGAAATTTTCAAACTGCATTACGAGGCTCAAATTTCCTTTTTTTTCACAGCAGGCCATTAAGAGAATGTCTCTGTAAGAGCGGTCGAGTTGATTTTGCTTGAGACACAGGTTTAGCTCATTTCTTGTGTGTTGTAAGACATTCATGTACCTATACTAAAACCACAATCCGTTTGATCGGATCTAAATATTTTTCAGAGTTTTACGGAAATTAAATTTCACTTGAGCGAAGGCTTCTCGTGACACTTTTCAAGACTTTAATTTGAGACAACTTTGGAGGACAATTTACAAAAAACTACGGGACTCAGCAAAAACCAAATACCACAGCCATGTATATTAACTCTATCTTATCCATCGAGGCGACTTTCGTGAACATAACGTTTCAATCAAGCAAACAGGAAGACTTGAATGACACCTTATCGGTTCGCTTAACTCACACACGCGAAAACCGATCAAATTCAAGGTAAATTTTTGAAAAAGTGAGGCGTTCTTAACTGATCCAACTAATAGAGCTAGGAAGTAGGTGCCATAGAAAAGGTAACTACCGAAAAAGACTTTGCGGCCCGACCTTAACTAAAACTTTATAACTCCGTGAACTTACCTAATTTTCGGCAATCTCCAAGTTTGGCTGCCATTTTGAGGGACTTGTCAACATGAAGCGTAGCAGATATAAATCGAGCAGGTAGATCTAAAAGCCTCAGAAATACATACGAAAGCATTCAAATGAAATTCACTTTCAATTCAAGGAGCAAAATTTGAAATTTTTCGTTAAACCTACTATTCCTACATCCCCATGAGACCATTTCTTCCAACAATTCAAACACTACAACTAGTGTTCGAATTCCCTCGTCGATTCCACCGTAAGAAATAACCTGTGCCACCCAAGCTTCGACTCGAATGTGAAGTGCGAATCAAAGAACATAACTACTTCATCTTCGAGGCAATATCACGCTGGTATTTTGATTTTCTGATCGACAAGAACAGTGATCAGGAAGTGAGTGTTTACCTCATAAAGGTGACCGCTGACCAGCCGCTGAGTGAAAACAGTACGGCGCGGGGTGGGGTGGGTGGCGTCCTTATCGTCATAAGATATTCGAACGCATGGTAAAAAAGCTTTAAGGACTCTCAGTCTAAACAGTGAAGGCATGCTTCGTGGTACAGACAACTTTTATTTTATTCTCATAACTTTTTCTTCTAAATTAGAACTGGTATTAATTAATAGAGTTATTTAAATATTTTTGACCGAGGTACCCATAAGACCTTTTTGCTTGTCATCATTGGTATAAAATAAGGTGTCTTTTCTTAATTATGCCTTATTGCATGGAATGAACATTATACTTAAAATGTTCTTTCTAAATCATTTTTGCTGTTCCCAAGAATGTATGCAAAATCATGGCTTTATACAAAACCTGATTATAAAATATGATTTTCCCTAACGGTAACCAATGTCATTTACGTAAGGTGTTAATAAAACTAGTAGCAATGTACAATTTTCAGCGTTTTACACTTATAAGCCTGGCATACAATTGTCAAGTGAACTATGTTTAATTTCAGCTCATTCCTTGATTCGATGTGACCTTTTATCACTAAACCCTATTCTTTTCATTTGCAATTTTTCTGTACATTTTTTTCCATACGACAACGGCAAAGAGTCTTATAAGTAAACCGACTTTTTGGCGTACCACGCTTATTTCATTGTATATACAAATACATGCAAAAGGCCGGCTAAATGAGCTCCTCCCCCTGCTCTAATTTTTTGGTTGCTTTCGCCCCTTGCCCCTGAACGACTCCCTGTTGGCTAAAAGGAAATTTGAAAGACTGCTATGCAGGACACCTTTTCTTTTTCATTTTCAGTTACCCTCTACATTTTTTTATAAGTATGTAAAGATATAAAAAACACAAAGGTTTTTATTTTTGATATTAGACTTGTGTGACTAGGTCAAGGAGGAAAAATTGAACTATTTTACTGTTTCCATGATTAAGGAAATCTGTACTTTCTTCGAGCTCCCATTTAAATCTAGAGATCTCAAAGCTGTTCTAATGTCAATAATAAAGGAAATGACCCATGATTGCCAGTGCTCAGTGGAAGGATAATTGCACCATCAAGCAGTGACGCAGTGGCCCTTGTTGCTGTCTATAATGGGGAGATTGTAAGTTGGTTATGACAGTACACTTTTTTTCTGTTTTGCTTTGAATTTGTGACGTGGTTTTGTCACAATTTGAACAGACACGCGTCACTCTTACGTAATATTTTAACGGGAAACCAAACAGCATCATTTTATTTCCAAGTAGGTATGTCTCTTCAGCCGTTCTTAGCCACCATTTTGCCAGAAATATGTATATATTTAGAGTGGTACACACAAAAAAAACAGTTTACTTGTAAAAACCTTATATCTTTACATACTTACGAAATATTGTAGAGGGCAACTGAAAATGAAAAAGAAAAGGTGTCCTGCGTAGCAGTCTTTCAAATTTCCTTTTAGCCGACAGGGGGTCGTGCAGAGGCATGGGGCGAAAGCAACCAAAAAATTAGGAGCAGGGGGAGGAGCTCATTTAGCAGGCCTTTTGCATGTATTTGTATATACAATGTAATACTGAGTGTGGTACACCAAAAACTCAGTTACTTATAAAACTCTTTGTCGTTTTTGTATGAAAAAAATGTACAGGAAAATTGCAAATGAAAAGAATAGGGTTTAGTGATAAAAGGTCACATCGAATAGAGGAGTGAGCTGAAACTAAACATAGTTCACTTGACAATTGTATGTCAGGCTTATAAGTGGAAAACGTTAAAAATTGTACATTGCTAGTTTTATTAACACCTTACGTAAATGACATTGGTTACTGTTGCGGAAAATCATATTTTATAGTCAGCTTTGTATAAAGCAATGATTTTGCATACATTCTTGGGAACAGCAAAAATGATTTAGAACAAACCTTTTAAGTATAGTGTTCATTCCGTGCAATAAGGCATAAATAAAAGATTCTGGAAGAAAAGACACCTTATTTTATACCAATGATGACAAGCAAAAAGGTCTTATGGGTACCTCGGTTAAAAATATTTAAATAACTCTATTAATTAATGCCAGTTCTAATTTAAAGGAAAAAGTTATGAGAATAAAATAAAAGTTGTCTGTACCACGAAGCATGCCTTCACTTTTTAGACTGAGAGTCCTAAAGCTTTTTTATCATGTATTCGAATATCTTATGACGATAAGGCCGCCACCCACCCCACCCCGCGCCGTACTGTTTTCACTCAGCGGCTGGTCGGCGGTCACCTTTATGAGGTAAACATGGCAATCACTTACTGATCACTGTTCTTGTCGATCAGAAAATCAAAATACCAGCGTGATATTGTCTCGAAGATGAAGTAGTTATGTTCTTTGATTCGCACTCCACATTCGAGTCGAAGCTTGGGTGGCACAGGTTATTTCTTACGGTGGAATCGACGAGGGAATTCGAACACTAGTTGTAGTGTTTGAATTGTTGGAAGAAATGGTCTCATGGGGATGTAGGAATAGTAGGTTTAACGAAAAATTTCAAATTTTGCCCCTTGAATTGAAAGAGAAGTTCATTTCAATGCTTTCGTATGTATTTCTGAGGGTTTTAGATCTACCTGCTCGATTTATATCTGCTACGCTTCATGTTGACAAGTCCCTCAAAATGGCGGCAAAACTTGGAGATTGCCGAAAATTAGGTAAGTTCACGGAGTTATAAAGTTTTAGTTAAGGTCGGGCCGCAAAGTTTTTTTCTGTAGTTACCTTTTCTATGGCACCTACTTCCTAGCTCTATTAGTTGGATCAGTTAAGAACGCCTCACTTTTTCAGAAATTTACCTTGAATTTGATGGGTTTTCGCACGTGTGTGACTTAATCTAACCGATAAGGTGTCATTCAAGTCTCCCTGTTTGCTTGATTGAAACGAGATGTTCACGAAAGTCGCCTCGATGGATAAGGTAGAGTCTCATGGCTGTCAGGTATTTGGTTTTTGCTGAGTCCCGTAGTTTTTTGTAAATTGTCCTCCAAAGTTGTCTCAAATTGAAGTCTTGAAAAGTATCACGACAAGCCTTCGCTCGAGTGAAATTTAATTTCTGTAAAACTCTGAAAAATATAGAGATCCGATCAAACGGATTGTGGTTTTAGTATAGGTACATGAATGTCTTACAACACACAAGAAATGAGCTAAATCTGTGTCTCAAGCAAAATCGACCGGACCGCTCTTACGGAGACACTCTCTTAATCCGTTAAATGTGGAAGGAAAAGATTTAACGACAGTTTAAGAATTTCCAAATTTACAAGACCTCGTAGGAAAACCACTCAACCGTGACTGGGTGGCAAGAGTTGTTTTCTTTTTTTTTTTTTCATACAAATCCTTCTTATTTTCAGCGGCCGTTGTAATCGCTACTTTTAAGAAATACGGCTGAAATTTTATAGTTTACCTAATTTTAATATGGTCCTTAAGCTCCTGTTAATAAAATCTTCCAAAAGCGAACTGTTTTCGTATTTACAGAAAGTTTATCACGTGATCAACTATTGCAATGGGCTACGTTTGCACTAAACCAGATAGCTCTTTGTGCCGACAGGAAACGCTAAGATCTGCGCAGTGCAGTTTCGCTCCGTTACAGAAATCGCGCGGAAATTATCGTTATTATATTATAATTATATGGGATTGGTGGAATTTGCAACCAAAAAATGTTTTGCTTTTTTCTTCACAGGAATGCTTGAACCAAGACCGAGTGACGGAGGGGTACTGGGACCAACTTTTCAGTGCATTGTAGCGGAGCAGTTCCGCCGCCTCAGAGTTGGAGATCGATTCTGGCACGAAAATGCCCCAAACCCAAGCTTGAACACCGATCGAACGGCGTACAACGGTGCAATGCTACGGGAAATCAGGAAAACAACCTTTGCCAGGATACTCTGCGACAATGCTGATAGCATCACGGCTGTCAACAAGATGGTGTTTCAGCAATCCAAGGAAAGAGTGAATTGCGACCAACTACCGACGGTCAGTTTAACTCCATGGATAACTCCTCATAGGGACTCGGGGTAAGTTTTTGGTGGATATTGGGGTCTTGTTTATAGTGAAAGTGCACTTACCTGTTCTAGCTGGTTTTAAGGCACTCCAAGCCAGATTGCGAATGCAATTCGACACGCCAACCACTCGACTTGTTTTGTTTTTTGTACATTCATTTCATTTAAAATACTAGTAAAGATAGTGATGCTGTTGATGAAACAACGACGAAAATGATGATGATATCAAAGAGACCGTTAATTTACTAATCAAGATTAGAAGTGTATTTTGCGAGTTCATTGTTATTATGATTCTTGTTTTAAGCTTGATGTTTAATTTTGTGTTTGGATTCAATAAAAATTTGAATCTCAAAATATAAACTAGAATGATGATGATGATGATGATGATGATGATAAAAATACATAAAAAAAACTACAAAACAACGCTATCAGGAACTACCAGGATTTTGAGCAAGGTTCATCGTTTCTAGGTAACTAAGAGAAACAAGAGAGTGTCCCCATGGGACCTTTGTCATTTGTTATGACTCGCTCTCCTGGGATGTATTCAAAGTAGACAGACTGCAAATTATAGTACTTGCTAAAAAATATATCTACGTGTCCCAACTGTTCATCAGTAGGATGCCTAAAATGCGTGCAATTCCACAATTGGTTTCGGCTCCATTAAATCCTATACGAATTGCAGAACAATTTAGGAGGAGCCACCCACCGTGTCGGCATGAGAACAGAATAATTCTATACTGATGTTGATGATGATGAGGATGATGAGAAGGAGGAGGATGAACACGATGATGCCGAGGATGATGATGATGATAAGAGATGATGATAATAAAAATAATTTGTATTTTCAAAACTGAAAAAATTATATACAGAATACTTCTTACTATATTTTTTATCTTCCTTTCAGTACCTCAACGCAAATGTCATTTTTGTCCTTGAGTAAATAATATTAAATAATCCTTATCATAATCATAACTGTCTTATTTTTTTTTACCTTATAGAGTACCTGACGATGTTGACGATGATCTCCTCGATGATGACGACCCTGAGTTTTGAGTATCCTTTCATCAGTAAAGAACACTCACATCCTGGAAAATTCTCGACGCTTTGCTGGAATCGTAGATTAGACAAACGACTATCATAAAAATTGCCTTGCTATATTAATCGTAAAGAGAGAATGCAATAAATAACATTTTGCTTGGCAAGATCTTTGTACGTATTTGTTATTTAATTTCATCACAAATAAAACGAGAAGGTCAAAAATAGGGATCTTAAGCAAAAAGTGAAGTCAAGCTGTTTTAAGATACGACGTGATTCCACCTAGTTAAATTTGTCAAATGCTAGCAAATTTTCTGAAGTTGTATTTTTAAGGACTGTAAAAAACGTCCAGGGTCCAGAATTTTCTCGGATAATTTTGTCTGTTATCTTTAGAGCTTCTAATCATCAACTTGTAGACAAAAAGATTTAAAACTGAAATGCTTTTTAGGCTTTCAAATCTGAATTCAAATCTCGCACTGACCCTGGGTTATCTTAACCCAGCTTTGGACAACTCGGCCCAGATTAAGAAAAAAGAAAGCCGTTGTCCATGTTGTATTCAAGTCCTGTATACTTTAGGAAAAAAAAATATAATTAGAAAGTTTTACGTCGTAGTCTTGCAAGGACAGCAAATGAAAAAAGGTAATGTGCGTGCAGAGGTGTTATTTTGCTAGCCTGAGAAAACAGCCGATATTTCGCGACTCCACCATGCCACTGCTGGTTTCCCCGCAAAATGAGGTCTGAGGAAAAGCGCAGAAATTCCATACTAATGATGCGTCATTAACTAGATCTTGGTAGTGCTTCTAATTGGTTAAAAATTTGCTTCAACCAATCAGACGCACCACCCAGATCTGGGTAGTGGCGGGTCATCAGTGTTGAATTTCTGTAGTCGTTTCTCAGACGTCAATTTGCGGGGGAAACCAGTGGTGGCGTCGCCAATGTCGGCTGTTTACTCAGGCTATTGTTTTGCTTACTGAGACACCGCGCACACGAATCCAGATCCAAATCGCAATTTTTTAATTATAGGAATAAACCTTCCGTCCACGCGAAACCGGTTATCCCGCACACCGGAACCGCATCTTTTTTAAACCCCTCTCCAGAGTGAATTTTTTTGGATCCGACGGGTTTGGCGAATTCATGTAGACGACTGAAACGATATTTTTCAATTCAGCTACGTCATAAACTCAGGTCCAGGCTTAAATGAGAACTTGCAAATTTAAAATGGTTGGCAACAACCCTACTTGGATACTGTTCTTCGAACAGTACCAGTATATCAGAACGTTTGGATTGAACGGCAATTGCGACTCTTCGTTTTCCATTGGCTGCTACATCTTGTAGTCGCTCGATATTTTAGCAAAAGCTCGCCTTTATCGTCGATCCGGACGAATGAATCGGCAGGTTGTGTCGCTATTTCTCGTTGACATTCCTGCTGAAATGCTGGCGAACAGCGCTGAGGAAATAGGAAATGTATACGGCCGGTGTGTTTGATATAGCTACAAAAATATTCAACAATGCCGCGAACACATTGAAAGCGATTTAAGCATGCCCACTAGCTAATAGTTAGCAAATATAAATGGCGGTAGCGTATTCGTTTGGATAAGTGAAACCAAAACCGTATACACCACACCTAATTCGTCTTGACACCAATATTATTTATGCTGTTTCATCTTATCCAGAATTTATCCCGTTTTAAATCTTTTGCTATCACCGTTCTCGTTGCTTAAGCTTCCTAATAAGCGTCGAACTGTGGCTAGCGAGTTTTAGAACTAAGCAAAGGTAACCTCCCATCAGATTTATGGACCTCAAGGCTTTGAGCCTTTAAGTGAATCAGTCCTCCGTTCGGATATCAATACATCGAGTAAAGTGCCTTTATCGATAGAACACTTCAAAACACTTGTCACCGCTACGAGAGACTCTTGACTGAAAATGTGTTCGCCATTATCCTGCTTTGATCAAGTGAAGGCTTTGGGATACGTTTGGGAGAAGCTGTTTACAATTTAGTTAAAGAGGAAGAAAGGAAGAAAGGCAGCGTTTGGGTGTTAGAAGATGCCTAAAATGGCTCAAATCCTCGAACTAGTTTAGTCAGGCTAGGCGCAAAGTGGTAAGTTTTTCGTTTATTCCTTTCTTTTAATTTATAAAACCAACAGACTCCATGTTGCGGTGCGTCTGTTTAGTGAAATGTCTAGTAATAGGTCGTGATAGGGAACTAAAGGCGAAGAAGACGACGACAACTACGAGCACGGCAAAAAACATGATAAGGATTAGCAAAACAACAACTTTGCACGAGTGCATCACGCTTCATTGCTTATCTCTTTACCGTCGTTCTCAACCTCACAACAACAGTTTTCGTTTCCTTTTATTTTCTTTAATTACATTCCTTTGTCTGGAGAGGTTCCTAAGGGCCTGTTTACACGGAGGTGGGGGACCCTAGATAGGTGAGGTAACATGTGGCGGGTCACCCCAGCTATCGTGTAAACGTGATCAAATTAAAATGAGAGATTATGTGGACAGGCGGGTTACCCACCAAAGCGGGTTACCTCACCTACCTGGGGTCCCTCACCTCCATGTAAACAGGCCCTAATTAGCCCCCTCAGTAATGTAGAACACACAGAGACGTCAAATAGTGGTGAGAACATATGTGACACTTTTTGCTCATGTTGACGTTGTTTGTGTTCTACGCAGGGCAACAGGGTGCGAAGAATTGTGAATTTCTCAGCCTGCATGAAGGGTGTGAACGACTCTCAGGAGGGCTAGTTCAGGGCGGACTCGCGAGCGGAGGGGCTCGAAGGCCCGGAAGAATCCAACAGTTAATTATTAACAGATAATTTACTTTTTCTCTCTACTTAGATATCAACTTAAATCCTTCCTGTTGTTCGATCTGTTCACCTTACGTTCGAACTTTCTTTAGTCTTCTAATCCTATTTTTGATCTTACTTACTTCACCCGTTCAACTTAGAAGCTCTTATTTTATTTGCTTGCTAATGAATAATGCGTATGCGGGTTCCAATTACTTGCTTATTTATCGTATGATTCATCATTAAATCTAGGGCAAAAAAATCTATTGCAAAGCTTTTTATCAGTAGTTCCGGAACAGATTGACGACCACTGCAACTACCAGAGTTAAGCTCACTAAAAAAAGTACATTTTACTAAGTTACCTTTCACGTTACTTAGATGTTAGAGGTATAGCCCTCGTTTATGAACAGTAAACAGTGGACAACAGAAGTAGATAGGACAAGGTTTCCGACTCATTGTGAATAGATCCTCAAAAACGGAAAGCGTAAGTAAACCCTCCCTAAGTCTAATTGCTGAAAGGCAAAAGTGGACATTTAAAAGATAAGTATCAAATTTTGAGGAACTTCAAGTTGGGAGACAACATGTCGCACCCTCAAAACCACCCTTCCTCATTAATGAAACACGAAAGGAGAAATTCTTAATGCTATTCTGGTCCCAGACTCATACACGAAATATAGGGCGAATAAAGAAGAGGGGTGTCGTCCTTGGTTAATCAACAGGGAGCTTAAGAAAAGAAGACAGCGACGGCAACGAGGATGGCACAAAAACAATAGGTTTAGGGTTAGCAACACAACAACTCTGCACGTGCATCACGGTTTTTTTGTACATTTCTTTGTCGTCGCTGCAAGACTACGACGTGAAAAAGCCCAAATGTCACGTTTTGTGAAGGACGTGAACTTAAGACGACCTTCTTTTTCTTTTCCTTTTTAAACTTCAACAGTCCTTAGAATTTAACTCCAGAGAACTTTGCCAAAATTTGACGACTATAACGAGATGAAATAAGCGCCGGAAAGTTTGATTGAAGTAACGCGAATTTACGTTTCAAGGGACGTTTTTGTAGACGTTGCCGTCGTAAGGTTTTTCTTAAGCTCCATAATAACAACCTGAAGAAGGGTGCACTCGCAATGATATCGTGCGTCATGCCTGTGCAGGAAAAGCACACTTATTAAATATTAATCTTTTCAAATAAAAAGCCTATTAATAAATTATTGGCTATTTATCTTGCTTTATTCTTAACAGTAAACACTTAAAACGTGTCCAGAACGCTAAAAGCTTTCTGCAACCCCGAACAAATGATATATGTCACTACATTTCAATTTGATGAGATAAGAGTTGACGATGATCTACAAGTATGACCATCTTCGCACTTCACCTATTTTTTGTTTTAAATGTTTCATTTTTATTTGTTCCATAATGGATACAAAATGGATATAGTGCATAATGCATGCTGTATGTTGTGGTTCAACTTCATCCTTGGTGTAAATTTTACTTTCTTTTGTTTCAAACTTACATCACTATACATTACCATAGCATTATGTGTAGTATAGTTACCTGTAATAGATCATAGAAGACGTCAAAATCTGGTAAGGATACTGTATCAGTCATGACACACTCGCCTGCGGCTCGTGTGCCACTTTTTTGGTTTCACCACATTTTGACGTCATCTGTGATTTATCACTGAACAGAAGGAGGGAAACTCCTGGAATCTACTTGTTAAGAGACTACAAGGACCGCGGAGACCATTTTAAGGTGGTAGGGCTAAAAACTCTGGCCAGTAGAAAAAAACATTCAGGTCGATGTTTCGCCATTTATCTTGCATTTGCGCGCCATCTTATTTACCACCTCAACAAATATAACATAAACGTCCACACGCGTTATACTATCCAATATAGCCAATATGTTAAATAAACCTTCTGAGGTTGCTACTTTTTGAAGTTGCCCAAAGTGCCGAAGTCCAATAATTCCACGATAACTTTTTCCAGGTCAACTGGAGCCCTAGAAAATAAATCCCAGCAAAAAAGTGGTAGGGCTATAGCCCCTCCCCCTCCGCGGTCCCTGGACTAGGGCACGCTTGAATTTGCTTTTGTACGACGCGACATCATTAAATAAATGGCATAGAAGGCTTTCGTGTAGGGTCACGATTTTGCTCATTTTGTTTATTTATCAAGTTTTATTTGATCTTCTAGAGCAATGACTTCGTATAATCTCATAGCCGAACTCAATGACCACTGTTTCTGTTTTGTGTCATTCTAGGGGACTCCAACATGGCGTCTCCATAAAAAGCCATGCCACGGTTACATAGCCTGACAATAAATTAGGCCCTTCTTAGAGTTTAGGAGAGACAGGATTTGAGATTTAAGTGCCGGGGAGAAAGGACAAGAGGGAAAGGGTGACGTTTCTTTTCTTTCTCCTTTTCCTCCTTTTTGGTTTTCTTTTCGCCTTTCCCAGAAGCGTCAGGGCCTGATTGTGCGCGTAAAATGCTGGAAAGTTGCTTACTGGAATGCCCAAAGGTTGCTTAAAAATGGCCAAAAATCCAAAAAGTTGCTACTTAAATTCAAAACTTGCTGCCAAAATTTCTGCATACTTTTATTCAAACGTCAATTTAAAGCTTTTTTTTTGGTTGCTCACAATAATTACTTTCATCGGTCCAGAAAAGTGATATTTGGCATGAACACCACGAGTGATATTTCGAAATTGTTATACGTAATTTCACGAGCCGTTAGGCGAGTGAAATTTGGGACAATTTGGAAATATCACGAGTGGTATTTATTCATGCTATTATTTTTTTATACTACTACCCGCAAAAGGTTTGTAATTTTCACATGTAGGTATCTCAAATTAAGCTGAAATACCACTGCTCTAAGCCAATCAAATTGCAGAAACTTCTCATGTAATAGTATAAGGGGAGAAATTTTTAAGAGTATAATTAATTATTCATACTGCAGCAGTTGCGTTTTTTGGCCTGCGGAACGGCGTTATGTGTTGCGAGGTTGATAATCATTCACAAAAGAAGACAATCCTCTCTTAACTGTCAGAAGAAATTCGCATAAATTGAATTTTTCACTGAAATCGTTGACTCTTTCGTTCTTGATATGTTCTTGATATAATTTGATATGCTCAAAAATTGCTCAGAAAGGCAAAAAATTGCTCAAGGTTGCTAGAACCTCAAAAAGTTGCTCCAAAAGCCAAAAGTTGCCCAAACGTTGCCGATCAACAACAACAAACACAACAATCCTTTTATTCACAGTATTCAGAGGTAAAAAGGAGAAGAAAAAAATGAGAATACAAGAAACTGGAGAAAACGAAATGATAGAAATTGCATTTTTATTAACTATAATAGTATGCAACAGCCAAGGTAGCAAAGCTTTCGAGTTGGCTACTGCTTACGTACAAGTAAAGAAAGGACCGAAGTAATTAAGTGTTATTGTCAGAAAAAACCGGGCAATAGCAAAAGATCGAGGTCAGCCGTTTACCTTCATGTTTTCACAGTATGAAAGCTATCTGAAAAGATTAACAACCATGGCATTTGGAGAAGTAGCCGTTCGATTTTCTTCGAGATATCACTATTTCGAGATTTTGGGACCTCCGGCGACCTAAAAAAGCACAAATTTTGGCTAACTTTGAGTGAAGTTAAAACATACTTGGCCAAACTCCCAATGGTTCTTATATTTTTTCCATAACACCTATCGCTTCGTTAGTCGACTGGAATATGTTAAACTTCCTTTGCTTAAATACTCTATTTTTTACCTGGTGCTAAAAATCGCTCCTGAATCGTTAATAAGCGTCACCCAAATTTCAGTCATTTTCAGTTGACTGTTTTACCGAGATGCGGCAGTTTATTTCAAAAGTAAAATCATTTCTAGATGGCTTATTGTGCTGTTATCAAAATCCAGTTTGTTTAAAATTGGTATCTAGCAGCAAATTGGAGAAAATGGCATGCGAAAGTACAATAATAAGCGTCGAGTATTAATATTTCCCGCCAAATTTTATAGCGCCACGTTTCGTTTTACTGTGACTGTGGTTCGTAAATGTCTTAAAATAGATTTTTACGACTTCAGAAGAGATAATTTTATATCCCTAATTACAAGGAAAAACATTATAAATCACCGTATTGATAATAATCTTTTTAATAAGCAAGCGAAATCGTCGAAAAACGAAGCCCATTTTTCCCGCGAAAGTTTTAATTTATTTGTCACGCAGTACAATAAAGCCGGACCGTATTCTCAGTTCTGGGCTTTTGACGTTGGCCAGAAAACAAACTTAAATCAAATAATACCAAGAAAATTCAGAATTATCCTAATTAAATTACTTCATAGAGACACCCTGTTTCCATCGAACGCTAGAGTTGTCACGAATTTAATGATCGGACGTCACGACAGGTTGAAAACAGATCAAAACATGAATTGTTCATTCAGATTGGAGGAATCGCCATGTGGCTTGCGTGGAGTTGGTACGGTTACTCTGCCGTTACTTGCCCGCAAAAGAGATATGACCTTTCATCTTCTTAGTCTGAAAATCAGCGTAAAACGTGGTAGAGGAAGCACCGAGGTCAGCGAAACAGAGTTTTAACTCTTTAAAAAGTATATTTGTCATGGTTTTGACAAATTAAATAAATTTTAAGTAACCAGTGAAAACAAATACAGTATTATTTACGCTCAGAATAAAGAAAAACATATTATACTCGACTCAGTTTTTTATTATTACCTCTGTTAACTTTTCCAGTTAACTCAGTTTATTTTACTCACTCTAGTCGCTTACTTACAAAGTTCAACAAAGAATCAGAGCAAAAGAGATTTCAAAGTAAGTCACCCAATAGCTACCCATGCCAATAGCAACATTGTAGCTACATTTTACTAGTGTACTACAATCCTACTGTGCAACAGGCCAAGCAGTACATAAATGACTGATTAACGGCCTTTTATTTGCCTACTCATCATTACTTAAAAGCTCTTCAAAGTCAATCTCCTGCTACTCTTCCTCCTCTGCGACATTTTCCGTCTCTCCTCAGTTGTTTTCTCAAACAGGTCAACGAGTGAGGGGGGAAGTATAGCATCACATGATCACACCGTCCCTAGGATACCTTCCTCGGTCTTCTGCCAACCCTGGCCTGAATCGTAGGGATTGGGGCGCCAAAATGTCGCCTGTTGAGCTCTTTTGCAGTTGGCAAGGCGGTAATTCACTCTCCAAACATGTGGAATGAAGTTGTCTTTGCAAGGTGGAAGCCGGGACAGGTCTTCTTTTGATCTCATTGTAGGTTCCTCATTCTCTCCTACCATCTTCTTAAGCATTATGTTGCGTACGGAATCAACAGACTTCTCCCGCGTGTAGTCATACATCAAACACGTAAATGCCTCTAGTTCATCTGTAACGTCTTGATCTACAGACCACTCATCTCCAAGTTTTCTAAACGAAAACAAGAACAAAACAAATGATGGCAACATTATTAATTTACTAGCAGGTGTCAATATTACAACTCATTACTGCCATGTAAAGCAAAAACGGTCACATAAATGCGTCATGGTACCTAGGATGGTTCTGCAGCTTTTTTAAGGGTCCCACCTTACCCTTGCCCTTTAACGCACTTGGAACATCTTCACCGGTAAACAAGTATAGACCGAGCAGCGCAGTGTAGTAGTCGGCTCCTTTAGATTCTGATAGCTCACTGACATTTATAATTTGACGATGCTTTCGAGATCCAGTATCTAGGTATATGGTAATTGGGATTGAGTGCACATAGTGAAGCAGGATAAAGATGTCTGTGTCTGACGTCCTGACCACAGCCGATTTGAATCCACGCCTGACGGCATAGTCGAGGTACAGCACAACTCTGGTGTCTGTCTCCTGGTTGGATACAAGTTCTTCAATCTCGTGTATCGCCAACTGAAATTTTTAATTATAATTAAATTATAATTATAATTAAATAAACCTGCACTGTAGCAATACGCATTTGCCAATCATAGCTTGCAGCCTTCTTATTTTAATGTACTCACATCGCCATAAAGTATTCCAAGTTGGTACGCCTTACAATCAACCACTATCAGAGCAGTTTCACATTTCTCCAGCTGAGAGGCTGCTGTCTTGCTTCCCTACACTCACAACATTAGTTGGCAGAGCTGTAGTTTATTCTTTTCTTTTGCAAGGTCGCTGGTCCCTCTAGGATATACCGCTGGGAGAAACCACTACGGAGTCGTTCTTGTGATTTGATGGAGTCTGCATGGTAAGAATCCGTTGAGAAGACAACATTCTTCTTAGCCACCATCTAGTACCTGAAGGCATATCTCACCAAACGTTGGTGGTAGGTTCTTCAGGGCACGGAAAAGTGCGTTCCCATCCTGTATGTAGAGGCTCTCCGCTGGATAAATAACTTCTTCAGGAGCATCGTCCATCATATACTGCAGCATAGCAGCCTTGTTTGTCTTGTTGAAAAATTGGTCAGGTGTTCCAAGGCTGTGAGGTACAGGCTTAAGGGAGTAACGCATGTGCTCGTCAATGTCAATGGGATCATCGATGACACAGTTCAGGAATTTTACAAGGTCAGATGGGTGTAGTTCCTCAGATGACTTGACTTCAAGATTGTCGGCTGAAGGAGGCCAGGGAAGTGGCTTCGACTCTTTAAAAGCCTGCTTAATCGAGCTGCGTAGGAGGAGAGCAACATCTTCATATTTGTCTTTGGACCCCAAATTGTATGCATAGGCTAGTGCTTCAGCAACGAACATGGCGGCACTGTAGACCAGATTATAGGTGATACAACCTTTGTCACCTCGGTTGACATTTGCGATAGTGATCAACTCACAAATCTCATGATTGTCAAGTCGTGCTTTCAAATTCTCACTTCTGTACTCTGGATTAGGAAAGCCATTTTTCTCCAACTCTTGGACGTAGAGAAGACGTAGAGAAGAAAGCAACAGAACTTTTCTCTGCTCAATAACGGAATCTTAAATAAAATCAAGCACGGCAGTGAATGCCTTCAGATGTGCAGATGCCTTCTGACCCTGATCTGTTTCGGTTTTGTCTCGTCTTTTGTGGCTCGGGCTGTATCACGCAGATGATTTAAATACTTCAAGTTAAATAAACTGCGACAGGACGGGTGAAACTGGGCCTCTCGTGCAAACAAATCTTCCCCTTGTACTTTGCGATGCAGATGACTATTGCCAAGCTCGAGGGCTCGAGGCTCAATCTGTTTCCCAGTAGGCTCCTTTAGAGCTCCGTCTTTGTCCTTGAACACTGGGAACTTGATGCATTGCTCTGTTTTTCCACACGATTTCAGTTCAAGCTTTTCACAGAAAATGCATTTGGAGGAAACAGCTGCGGAGCAGATGAGGATTACGATTTACGAAGAGAACGTGTTGTTGTTGTGGCTTCACTATTAGGTGTCACACTGGACTTCAACTTATCCTGGTTTTTAGTAAACCTTTGGTAACAGGTGATAGCAGAGTGCTTCTAAATTTGCACCCTGGAGATTCTCTGGAATCTGCAAACAAACATCTTCCATGCGATTCGGTGAATCATGAGGTTTCATAACTCGCCTGTCACGAACTTCATGTAATTGGGAAAGCTTCTCAGTAGCAGATCCCTTGACATTACTGAGTGCTGTGAAATAGCCATGGTGAATGCCACTCGCATGTAAAATACGGCGAAGAGCGGGCCGCTTGTGAAGAAAGTCTTGTCTGTTAGCGTTATTACCTTTGCGTTTCATCTCTTAAAATTCTAACAGTGATTTTTTTTGAACGATTTAGACTCTTAAAAGTGCAAAACATAGTTCAAATCTTTCTTAAAATAATATGAAAATATGACTTAACGCATTTTTAATTAGTATCAAAATGAAATCGCAGTTTAAGTACAAACTATCCAAATTTTCACATAAATTTTTTTCGTTTTTATATACAGGCGAGTAGAATAAAAGTTAAAGTGAAAAGAAGAAGTAGCGATACGTAAAAATGCCCTGCATATTTGATAACCATTTCAAATGAGGTTGTAAATTAAACAGTGGCCCAGTTAATAGTTCATGTGCTGCTTGGCCTGTTTCACATTAGGATTGTAGTACTAGAAGCATAGTCTGACTTAAGAAGGCAGTAGGGTGACTTATCTAATAGTATTTTCGCTTTGATCCAATTCTTGACTTTATAAGATTCTTTTTAACCTGTGGTTGCCCTTTTTTAAAATGGAAAAATTAATAGAGGTAATCATAAAAAACTGAGTTGAATATAATGTTAAGTTTTATTCTTTATTCTGAGCGTAAATCATACTTTATTTGTTTTCACTGTTTACTTCAAATTTATTTAATTTGTCAAAAAAGGACGTATATACTTTAAAGGTATTCGTTATAGTAAAAGTATACGCAAATAAAAGTTATTTGCCTCTTTTGATAAACTAATTGTTCGCAATTAAGTTTCGTTAGAAAACCAAGATGGCTGCCAAGATGGCCGCCACAAAGAGCACGAAAAAAAGGCCTTGGGACAATATTTCGCGATGGGAACATAGAATTTCTTTTTCAAGACATCTTGAGGATTACAAAAATGTAAGTTAGAAAAATATATCCTTGGGGTGCATGGGAACCCTGCCTTCCGACTAGACTATTTCTCTGTTGTAACTTTTTTGCGTTTACTTCACGGTAATTGATTTTATTACCATTTGTAAGGCCATATTTCAGTATATAACAAATAAACCTTTCGTTAATTTCTGTAAAACTGTAATACTAATTTATCCTGGGTTGTATTTTTTTTTCATATCCTTTTTTCTGTTGCGCCTCATTTGTGAATAAATAAAAAGAGTGTCCGCTGTGGAGAAACTGTAATCTAATTATGTTTGCCCTTTGCGTACGTTCACTTTCGTTTTTACGAACCCTCAGATTTTCATCAAAAACAGTTGCAAAAGAAAAAGAAACTGTCAATACTAATTTAGTTTACTTTTTGGTTGTCATGAAAAGGCTCTTCTGGCACAGATTACTACAACAGGTGTTGCGACAACTTAGAAGCAAAACGTTTGTTTGTACTTTCAATTAGCTTCGCACGCAAAGTTTATGTTGTCAGTAAAATTAGAGTTCAAGGTAAGAAAAAATATTTTAGCGGGGCTTAAGTATGATTTTCCCCATTGGCTTGATGGCCATAAGGTGTCTTTATCACTCGGTACACGCGGTTTGGACACAATGAAACCACCCTTTTTGAGTAAAGCATCAGTCATGGGAAACTGCAATCTGTCGCAAATACTTGCTTACGGGCGTTCGTGTTCCACCCTTTTGATGCAAATCGTGGGAACTACCTTAAGCTAAAAAAGAAAATCTGTAAAAATGAATGCATTACACTAACCTGAGCCAATAGGAACCACAGCATTGAATAAAACAAAGATTTCCGCTGACATATCAGCGTTTACACGTCTAGGGAGTTTAAGTCCTCTCTTGGTACCTTCATGGTCTGGATAACAACATATTTCGACTTTACGACCCGGCCAGTTAGTCGTAAGATCCAGCCTATGCTTGGGACAGATTGTCATGGTCTGCATTTCGTCATTGCTAACAGCACCCAAAAGACCTGTACGGTTTAAAATTAACTCTGTTTCGCTGACCTCGGTGCTTCCTCTACCACGTTTTACGCTGATTTTCAGACTAAGAAGATGAAAGGTCATATCTCTTTTGCAGGCAAGTAACGGCAGAGTAACCGTACCAACTCCACGCAAGCCACATGGCGATTCCTCCAATCTGAATGAACAATTCATGTTTTGATCTGTTTTCAACCTGTCGTGACGTCCGATCATTAAATTCGTGACAACTCTAGCGTTCGATGGAAACAGGGTGTCTCTATGAAGTAATTTAATTAGGATAATTCTGAATTTTCTTGGTATTATTTGATTTAAGTTTGTTTTCTGGCCAACGTCAAAAGCTCAGAACTGAGAATACAGTCTAGCCTCCCCGCAGACGTCCTTTAGGGTTCGTTTGTCACGCATTCATTTCTCCCCCACGGACGTCTGCCAGAGGAGGATCGAATAGTATCCCATGATGCATTTTTCCAGAAGCATCACGCAATATCGCAGTCATAGCAGATTCCATCTTGAAATAAGGTCGTTTTCTCGTCGACTTTTTTCTCACTCGATTTCCAGTAAAAGTAAAAAAATTACATTATTTCGTTATTTGACATGATTTCTCCGATTTGCAATGGCTTAAGAGCGAAGTTTCCACTTAGAAACATTTATTTTCACGGTTTCAATTAGTCTTCCCATCACAAAGTGTTCAGTGACCCACAACCAGGTCATGAATATTCAAGGTTTTTTGGAATATATGTTGAAATCTTACAAATGTGGACCTCACGCCAGCAAAATGAAGTCCTGAATATTGTACAGGCCAAGAAGTGCCCAGAAGTACCCAGATTTTGAAGACTTTTTTGTCGACCATGTGTCATAATATATGTGTAAAGCCTGATGAAGGCTACAATCTGTTGGGCGCTTTTGAGAGCGCTTTATGCCGAAGCAATCACTTTGTATTTTCAAAGAGGTTATTTTTAAAAGGAATTTGACTATAATTATTTTAATTCGAAGAAGGAGCGATGTATAACGGTGTGTTTCAGCGCGAAAAGAACCCAAAGAAAGGAACCACGCAGCATGCAAGCCGGCACAACGTAAACTGAAGCCTGCTCAGAATTTGAAAAAGAAACATCATGCAGAAACTTTATTTATTCAAAAGAACAGATCAGTATTCTGGCCAGGAAATTTCCTTGAAGATTGCTTGAGTCAGTACCGGGTAGACTGTGCTTCAGAGAATGGTTCGTCGCATCGATAGGTTAAATTTTATTTGTAATTGCCATTGTAAACTTCAGCTCCTTTGAGCGCGATGCTGTAATAAATTATCCTCTGGTAATTAGCTTCACAGCGTAGCGGATGTTTTGTTGGAACCACTTTATAGATCAGTCATAGTTTTGGTTCTTCTCTGGCCTGGGTTCTCCTACTGAACCTAGCGAAGCTTATCTATTGCGAGTCTTATAATTTGTGTTTACAGTGCGACCGAGCGCGGCACAAGTAGTTCTCGACAGATCAGTGAAATACATGTAAAACTCTTCTCAGTCAAAGCAACGCTGAAATTCTCCTTTAAAGCAGA